TGACACGACACCTTGAGATGATTGTCTTTCTACTGAAAAATCCACCATAAATGGGGTGGTGGTTAGGAATCAGCACTCTCAAATTGACCAGAAATTATACAGTGCTACTCTTTTATAAGGCCTTAGGTATCATTCCTTTATCTTTTCTTTCTGATGCAGAGGATGAGATTTTGTAAGATGTTTTTAACTTGACACGACACCTTGAGATGATTGTCTTTCTACTGAAAAATCCACCATAAATGGGGTGGTGGTAAGGAATCAGCACTCTCAAATTGACCAGAAATTATACAGTGCTACTCTGTAGCACTCTAAAATAAGGCCTAGGTTTTAGCATCTTTTACATATAAACAAAACAAAAGTATCATATGCAGAAGTAGCATCTTTTACATATAAACAAAACAAAAAAAAAGTATCATATGCAGAAGTGTTTTGAAAAAATTAAAGCTGTAAAGCAGTTAAGAAATAGTATTATTAAAATAAAACTGCCTACCAAATCAGGGCTCCACAAGTAGCACCTAGAAGGCTGAAACAGCCTTAGAAAACACCAAGAGTTACAGTGCCCCTGGATTTCATCTCAAAAGATGTAGCTGATAAACACAGGTAAATCTAAAAGCCTAGGTTCAGTGATGCCTCCCTTCTCAGATATATGAGTACTGGAAAATCCTATGGATTATTCTGAACCATCAGAGCTCCTTTCTCTATCCCTCTCCTCCTCTATTCCCTATTCCTAAATTTTTAGCCAGCCTGGTCCCCTTAAATATTGGTGGAGTCTCTCTCTAGCATTTCCTACAAGGAAAGCAGAACCAAGGACTCTTATTCAAATTCTTTTGTGGTTATGCCTCCCTCCATGATCTCAGGAAACCATCTGTAAAGTAGGCAGAGTACTTTCCAATGTTATTAGACATTAGAAAGCTTAGTCAATGGTGTTTACACAGCTTACTAAAGATTCTTCGATGAAAGGTGCTATACATGGAAAAACATTATCTGTACAACTGTCCACACATCACTTAGAATTAACAAACACCAAACAGCTACTGAGGTCAAAGAAGAATGTAGTTAAAACCAGTACCTCACAACCACTAGATACAGTCCAAGCAGAAGACTGAATTTGTCTTTTCTCTCTTTTTTTTTTTTTTCCCCCCCCTTTTCTGTCTGGTACAGGACGAATAAGTGTTCTTTGTTACTTAAAGGTCACTCTCAAAATGTCCAAAAAATCATAAATAAGTGTTTCAGTTCAGGTGACATCATCCTGCAAGTCAAGAGCTTGTCCTTTCTCCTTGCTGCTGGTTATGAAGGATTATAATTTTTTCCTGCTTTGGCTCATCTTTTCATTAAAAGAATACACAAAATAAGAATGAAGGATTATTTGCAATCACTCTTATAGTCACTGCTCTCCTAAAAGAGAGCACAGGAGAGCTGCAGGGGCAGCTCACCAAGCTGGCAATCCTTGAAACACAGGACATTGTTCCTGGAAGGGTGCCTTTTTTTTCACCAGGAAAAGCCACATATGCTCAAAACCTCACTTAGTGTGCATCCCCACAAGCGGCACCATTTTGGCTGAACAAAGCCACACAAGATTACAGCCCACATAGACCCATGCAGATGTGAAAACCTGAATCAGACGTGCATACTCCATTCACACAGGAGACAGCAGCCACAGCTATTTTGGTTCATCACCCAGCAAGAAATGTGGTGCAGCACTGTATAAAGAGACCCCTGGTGCTGGCTGCTCGGAGCACTTACTCGGGGTACGGGAGGTTCGAGTTCTGGGTTCTCCTCTGCCTGTGATCACTCCAGCCCTCCCCTAAGAGAGGCCCAACATGCTCTGCTTCCCACTGAAGCTGCTACAACTTTGGAGAACAGGGATCATTTGCAAAAATGGCCCAGTGAAACGGAGGGGGAGGAAAAAAGGTGAGGGAGAAGAGGGTGGGAAATGGACATCAGGTGCTGTTGTTATTCACCTAGGACAACAGTCATCTTGGTTCTGGCTTCTGTTCCAAAGACTCCTTATACAACAAGGGTTTTAATTTAAGTCTTTTCTATGGAACTCCCTGTTTTAAGGCAACTAAGCAGCAGGCATTCCTCATTCTGCTCTTCTCAGCAAGTTCTGGCAGCCTACATCACTCTCAGAAACTAAGCATCATTAAGCTGATTCAGTTATTAGTACACTGCTAATTATTGTTTGGCAGTGCTGTGCCTTTTTTTTTTTTGTGCTAGGTCTTACTGAAGAAAATAAGAGACTCTTTATAACCACTGCCTTAAAAGTATTCCACATCAAGCATCCCAAATCTGACCCTTCTCTGCACACACACAGTTTATCCGTGTGGGTAACATGGAAATCTACCACACAACACCAACTGAAAGAAGCAACGGGATAAAGCAGTTTCAATACATCTTCAATGAATTATAAAAATTACTATTTATGGGGCTGTTCAAGCACTCAGAAACACGTCAGTGAACAGCCCTCATACCCTCTGACATTAGTAATTTGCATCACTGAGGCCAAAAACTTTGTTGCAGTCCTGTACCTAGCAAACAAAAGTGTTATTTATCACCAGATGCCCCAGATGAATCCAGAAATATGGTTTTTCCCATTGCTGCTCATTAGCAGCAGCCCTATGAATTGAAACAGATTTATTTATTTTTTTATAGAATAAATGCTACAGGATGTTCTAAAAACTTTAAGCTCTTCCTTTAGGAAACAAAACTAACACCCCCACCATCATCCAGGCAGATTGCCTAACCTCATTCTACACATGAATGCATCTATTTCATCACAAAGAGCCTGATAACATGAACTGAAAGCTTGCCAGCCACCTTAAGATACACATGTTCAATACTGGACATACTCCACCCAATCAGGGTAGCACAGATTTCTGACATTTTCATTCTGTGAAGAAAAGTGGTGAGAGGAAAAAAACTGAAACCTTAATCAACACATCACTTTCAGACTTCAAACAAGGTCTATATACACAGTAGCTGCTTTATGAAAGAAGTGGCACAGACTAAGACTCTGGATAGACAAGTACAGGTCCATTAGCTTCATAACTTGCAAATAAGTAATTGCTTTAAAATCTACCCAGTTTCCCTTTGATTCAAACAGATATTTTCTAGGGTACTGTCCATACATGCATAAATAATAACTATAGATCTTCACCTTCAGGTATGTTACATAGTCTACTTGAATAATGAAAAAGTAGAAACTACTTCAATTATGAATCTTTAACTAATAAAAATGGTAATTTGGTCCAACTGTGAAAAAAACATCTTGCATTCATTAGAAAAGATAGTCTTTAGAAGCATCTTATATCTATGTTAAATGCTGAATTACTAACTAGCCTTCAGAACTGTAAAAGCTTTTAAAATTATCTCAATTAATATTCCTGATTAGTTCTACATGATCACATTCTATCCTGTAAGGGAAAAAAAGACGACCATGCACTGACCTTACCTCTGTAAACAGAACTTTAAAAAAAACCAAAGCACCCTGCATTAACTATATCTCAGCTACCACTGTAAAGACTACAGCATAAAATGTACACACTTTAGTACAATTTTGAATCCACTGAAGATAAAATGTTTATGAACTCCATAACTCCAAGGCAACGCCCACCATTCCATTAAACAGGCTTCTAGAATTGTCATGGAGGTTGAAAGATTCAAGTTAAGCTCATGTAATTTAATTTTTAAGATCTCTGTATATCCTCAACATATTCTTCCATAAGGTACATAGAAGCCATTACAAAATACCTGAGCTCTAGAGCCCTCAAAATAAGCCGTCCAAATTTTAAAAGTGTAATAAAAGTAGGATGAGTATCCATAATGTAAGCAGCAACTCAGGGCATATGAATGTGCTACTTAAAATTGAGATGGATACAGTGGTGACACCTGTGACTTGAGAGAACACAAGAAAAGAAGAAAGAGTTTGCTCAAAATAATCAAATAGTACATCCTCCTCCTAGAAAGTGAAACCTGTGACTTGAGAGAACACAAGAAAAAAAGAGTTTGCTCAAAATAATCAAATAATACATCCTCCTAGAAAGTGAAGAGAATCCAATGACACTTACAAAGAACAAACGTGAAGATCTTTTTTTTTAATAATATTTGCTAAACAATAGAAGCATACATCATTTCACACTAGGTGGCCTTTATTCAAACAATATATACTCAAAACCAAGACAGCATAATTAAGTCGCAGTATTTTGACTTTATCTCACAAGTCAAATAAAAAATAAATCTTGCAATACTCGCAGTACACCACAAATGTATACAAAATCAGATGTTAAAGACAGATTTGAGGTTAGACTTAATAGTGCAGGATCAGAATTTAAGTTATGCAGTTAATATGTACTGTGAGTAAAGAAGAAATGCAGGTTGATAGCATTCCCAATCCAGTATCATATTAAGAAGTTTTTAGTTGTGTCTGAGAATTATCTACACAAGCAGCTATACATTAAATAGGTTAGAAGTACAGTAGTATCTATAAAAATCTTTTGCAGTAATATCAGATAATTAGGTGCTGAAGAGACTCTTCAAAACCCTCATACTGTAAATTTTTCCCAGGTGAAAAATATTCTTAAGGTTTATGCCAGTGAATTCTAATAGCATTACTGAGTTTCAATAACACAGTAAAACAGAGTAAGACACTGCTGCACATAACTGTAACCATGGGCAGGAAAACAAAGACAAATGAGGACAAAGGAAGAAGGCAGGAAGGGACAGTAACAACAGAAGGATAAAAATGCTTGAAAGAACAAAAAGGTGGACTTCCAGAACTTTTATTATTTTCCCATTGTCTGTAGGCCAGAATTTTACATCAAACAAATACCTTTAAAAAACCCATTACGATCTCACTACGCACAGTGCAATGAAACTGAGGACAACTAAGTCTTTACATGTCAGTCATGCTCAGGAAAAAAAGAAAAACAAAACAACGAACAACACACACCAAACAAACCAATCAAACTTTAAAATTCTTGTAAGATTATATGAATATTTACCCATGCCAGTTCCAGCTGGTGCAATCTCTCTGGCGAAGATTTCTACAGCTTCTTTTTGCTTATGGTGTACAGCAAGCCAAATAACAGCTTCCCGAGGACCCTGATTCAAAAAAAAAAGAGAAATTAGGTTAGCTTAGATGAAGAACATTATCTAAATTTACCCCACTGAAAAATAACCATAGTTCACCACTGAAGTTAAAATTAATGGAAAAGTTTAGTACTGACAATTACAAACTACAGTTTTCATTCAGTGACTCATCCAGCATCACTATAATTTTCCATTAATGTTTCATTATCTTATTGTGCTGCCATGAAATCAATTATTGGATACTTCAGACTGCTAGGACACTGTGCTGCTTCTCCAGCATTCTCAAAGGATCAAGTACTATAACTAAAAATACTTTACAAGAAACTAAATACTTGGCTTCACTCTCAGTGGAACTGGAAAACAAACTTTCGTCTTTTCTGGGGTCAAGTTAGAGGGCCAACTTTACTTAGCATCAAAAAGTAAGCAGAACTGCTCATGGAAAAGAATCCAAACTTAGTCCTTGGGAGTTAAACAGGAGAATGGAACTTGTAAAAGCCACCACATTTCCAGAGAAAAGAGGAGACAGTCCTCTAAAGGTAAACCAAATCATCACTTTATAGTCAACCAAGACACCTGCCCTTGCAGATAAGCACACTCTCTCACTTATTTTACATCTCTAAAAAGCTCTTTTCTGCCACTGTAAGATCTACAACTGGAATGAAGACACTGGTAAAAGCCTCAGAGTGTACATTAGGTGTCACTGGGGGCAAAGACCATACTTATTAAAGAATTTCCAGCCACCAGTAAGAACCAGCTTTGGTCTACCTTTGAATCTCTAAAAGCATGAAACCTGCTCAAAATACAAGTCTGTCCCTAAGTGTCTCTTACTGTCTTCTTCCATGCTCCCTTCTCAAATTTTAAGATTTTAAAATAACCTGAGAAACTACACGTTGGATCTGAATTCCTTAACTTCCCATCTTTTAATACATCTCACAACTCCAGTGCTGCTTATTTTTATTGCCCACATTTCTGTAAAGCTGCATTCTTTAAAAACATTACATGAACCAGTAAACTGAGTATTAGCTTTAGAAATACTGATGACTTGTATATTAGTATCATTTTCCTGTGTGTATACAGTACATTTTTCCCTGAAGCAATACTGTTGAACATGTCAACATGCAAAAACCTCAAGTCAATTTCAAGAATTTAAGCAACTTCAGCAATGTAGGAACATGGATGTATCTCCTAATGGCAGCTGCTGAAATGCTGTTTATCATCAATGTTGAATATGCTGCACCAAGCATTCTGGCTACTGTAAGAGCATCCCAAAGAGACCACTATGTTAACAGACTACTAAATCCTCTATTCCAACTCAAATACACAACAAAATCCCAACAGGAACAAGCTCACTTATGCCAGATTTCCAAGGGAGGAAAACTTCCTCATTTTATAGCCAGTGATCAGCTAAATCCTAATAAAGAAAGGCCATCTTGCTTTAGTGTGTTTAAACCTAAGTCCTGAATATTCATGAAGTTTAAAGATGATTATTTTCTGCTTTCTGTTCCAGTGCATATCCACACAGAGGTACTCTGAGGTAAACTCATGTTTATGTGAGGTAACGTAACTCAAAATGTGAGGTATACTGAATATAATTGTTTCCATCCTTAAGTACCTCTGTGTAGACATACTCACAGGCAGACAGTTTCTTTCTCAGTCTCCAGGTGCCCAGACTGGAAAATACCTGGCACAATACTATAATGCAGAAATTCCTGCAAGCCTGATTCATATTAGTTTATTTTGATACTTATGTAGGCAAACCCTAAAATAAAACTTTAGGACGGCCAATGTAGGTGGAGTTATAGTACTCCAGAAGACCATGTGTCACTGAAGGGACAGAAATTTTCTGCTATGAATACAGAAACAGATGTCCCAATCAAGATAATATAAATAAAAAACCAATCAGTTTTCCAACTTGAAGTTCCACTAGACTGTAGTAAAAAATTTTGCTACACAGAAAATATGCAGTCATGCCACAAACTCAACAAATGCCCTTTTCTTTTTTTTAACAGTCAGCATTCCCAAACCTATCACAGGATTCATTAAATTGCTACAAGTAATAGTTAACATTAAATACTCTTGCAGGAAATGAACTTAGGCATTCAGATGTTTCCTGGTTCTAAACTGTACTGTGTCTTCAACATTACATTTAAGTTCTAGGTTTTCTTCCTTGCCAATAGATGTACGATGCAGTGGTCTATAAAAGTAATAAGATGAATCCTGTTCTGAGCAGGTGAGTCCAGTATTAAACTGGATATGCAGACTATTTAAAAGCCATTTATCTTATACCATCAAAGAGTAACAAAACTAAGTTATACTTCATCGATTCTTAATGTGTTGTAAACCAGTTAACAAAGGGTTAGTAAAAAACTAAGACACATCACAACTGTATATAGCAAACTTTAATACCTTATGTGTTATTAACAGACATCTTTAACAAGAAACACACCCACTATTTCTAAATCATAAACTCAATGACGCTGTTGACACTGTCATAACCCCTTCTTCCTTCCCAACAGAAAACCACAGAGCAAGAGATACTAAAAATTAACCACCACTAGGGTTGCTCAGTGCTGATTCAGGTCCCTCTCTTGCTCTGCTGGGCTGCTGCTGACGCTGCAAGCCATCAGTGGCAGGCAGCAGCCATGAGAACAGGTTGGAAGGCTGAGAAGGGAACAGAGGCAACCATCTCTTGGATTCTCAAGGACACTCTGTTGTCAGAACAGTTAATACTCCACACAGCAGCCCAGACTACAGCACACAGGTTTCCACAGGCCTGGCATACAGAGTGATTTCACAGTTGCAAAGGCAACCCTTTGCACCCACTTTGACAGGTCTAGGTGACAGTTAGTCCAGACACTTACACTGAGCTCCAAATATTTTTCAACATACCCTGTCTCAGTATTCATACACATATTTGCTTCTCCTCTTTAAATTTAGGTAGTAGAATCTTCAAAGCAGGAACATTTTTCCTGGTGTGTCAATATACTACCTAACCTAATATGGTTCTGTTTATGAGCACTGTTATTTGCAACCCAAATACCCATGTCTTATTTTGCATGGGAAGATATGATAGGAAAGAGCATTTCAGAGGTTCATTATTCCTACCTGAAGCCCCAACAGGCCGATGTTTTCCTTAAGATTCTATGACTCTGTATTTTAAATGGAAAAGCAAACCCCACACCCCACCCCTTTTTCTCAAGCTACTGTGGCTGTTTTCCAAATTAAGACTCCCCTGCTTAGTTTCTTCTACCGTTGGAGGAACTGGGTGAAGAAGGAAGGCTATAGAGTGACTGGTTTCCTGTATTTCAGCCTCAGCTCCCACATCCTATTTCAGGTATGTATGGGAAGCACTCACGATGGAGATAAGGCCCTATTTACTTTTAATATAAGACCTGGGAGTTAAGGTCGGAAATACAGAAAATACTATAAATAATTTCATTTAGAAAATTTATATCATGTACCATAAGCAAGGCAAACGGAACAGTAAGGAGAAACTGCTCTTTTTCAAATCATTATTCACTCTATTCAACCAGACAGAAAACCTCCTACGTAACAATTTAATTAAAATATGTATTACAATGCATAATCATAAAGAGCTGGTATGAACAAAACAGACAAGTTCAACATCTGGAACATCTGTTCCTATGTTACAAAATTTTGATTCTGCAATCTCAGTAACACACTACACATTGCAGGGTTTATGGTCCTAAAAGGAAAAAGACCACATTATAAAGCTCCTTCCTCAGGAAGCAACTTTAGCTGCTGTGCAGAATGAAACTGCAGCTCAAGCACTGAAAAGAACAGCTGCAGATGTAGCTTGCCCTATTTCTAAGAACACTTAATTTCTGTAGTAAGAAATTTGCTGTCTTTCTCCACATCCCATTCTTATTTCCTATACATACAAACTGTCAACTATTTTAAGTGTTGGCACTCCTAAGATCAAACTCAAGAGCTGAGTTTTCCCACATGTACCTCAAGAGTTTTACAAGGCTACCACTTACTAAGACGAATTAAATGCTACTGTTTTGGAACAAAATAAACTGTCTAGACATTTAAAGTGCATGTAGTGATGATGAGATTTAGAGTCTTTTTCCTTCAAAAAGAACTTTCATATTCTAGATCAGCAAAACAGACCACAGATATCACCACTGCAGTGGCTATGGCCATCACTGATATTCTTATGGATGAATTTATTAATTAAAAAAATACGATGCAGAATTATATAGTTTAAGACTGCTACACAAATAGTACTCAAAGACAGTTTTAAAGTTCCACAGGCAACAACAATTCTGCCATTTCCTGACTCTGCAATCTTTATAATGTGGTCTGTTAGAGTTACATCTAATGCGATTTAAGTCTCCGTCATAAGAACTTTTATAAGAAGATATTTCTTTAGATGAAGAACATTAGAACAGACTGCAGCAACATTTTTGTAAGATTCCATATCAGTGTTTCTGGAAGACCAAATACTGCAGAGACCCTGTCAGTGTTAATTTTGTACATTAAGTAGTAACAGTGAATTCTTTGCAAGATGATGGGGTGAAATTCCCAAGATGATAGTGACTTCCTTTAAAGTTGTGGAAAAGATAACAGTATGAAGAGATTAAAAGAGGTCAGTAAAAGTTTAAGAACACTCCACTGAATACTTACACCATCTATACTCCTTCTAGCATGAGGTCCATATGTATCTTCAGACCCTAAAACCTGTATGTTAACTGCACTGTAATCTTCATACCCAAGCTGACTGAAAATAAGACGAGTCCTGCAACAAATGATTTTTTTTTTAATCAGTAAAGCGCCTGAAAATGATTACGTGAAGTAAAAGCCCTGTGTGGTCCACAGGAGTTAGCTCTGTCATGTAAACTGGACTAGGAATACTTACACTAAACAAATATATCTGCATACTACAAATCAAGTCATTACTGAGAAGGAAGTTATGCCTCTGAATTTAACCCGAGGTTTCAAACTGAGCCTTCTGTTTATTCAAATTATGTGAAAGATGACAGGCAAAGACAAATAAAAGGATTTCAGCTCGCTCTTTTATCTTCATTTTAAAGACAGCTTGAAATGTAATTACAGTATATGCAGTTTTTCTGTTTTTCATGCTGGTAGTTCAGTTCTTAACTCAGTTTCTTGATGTAACACATTATGAACTACCAATGAACACATGAAAATACTTCATTACACCACACACAGAAAGGAAGGACATCGAACTGAAGAAAGAACTCTTACTCAAATCTTGAAAGATATTTATGTGGAATTAATGAACATAGGACTCAAATGTGAAAAAGGAAGGGTTTTAAAGAGAACATTTCACTCATGCCTGAAATCCCTCAAACTCTTTCTATAAGGATATTTCCACCAAAAGCACATTGTGCCAAGAGTGCCAAGTTGGTCCAGTCATGATTAACAATGGTGATGGACATTACATTCTTTTTATATACCATGAAAACACACAATGCCTTAAAGAGCCAGGAGTTAACACTGGTTTTTGACAAATATTGAAGTTGGGTTAAATTGACTGTTTTCAACAACCATTAGAAAAAACAGCCCATCTCAAGCACTAAAACTGAAAATTACTGCTATAATTAAAAAAAAAAAAAATGTATTAAGTCCAAAATAAATTAGAAAGTTAGAGAAGTTTTAAAAGAATGCAATGGTTAAAAATCGTCCAACTTATTACTATGTTGCATATTGGAAAAATAATTTAAAATTCTGAAGCACCTAAATTGGTTCCCTAATAATCTTGGTCTGGCACCCTTCTAGCTGAATAATATCAGCAGAAACATTAGAATTATGAGAAAAACATTTTCTACTGGAGGAACATTTCAAGGACAGTTAATGTATCATCATTGTTGTAAGTATTAGCATGGTAGCTGAAACAATGAAGCAGTGTACAGGGCTGACTCCAAAACAATGTCATTTTCTAACTGTTGTCAAGAGATGAAAGTGGTCTATGTACCACGAAATGAAGCCATCTTTATATTGATGACCATAGAAAGACAGACACTTGATTCAAAGCACCTAGATTTGTTAACCACATCTATCATAAGTTGTTTATTTACAAACATTACAGTTCAAGATACGAGCATTGAAAGTGTTTTCTGTGGGTAATTTTTAGCTGTTTCATGAGTCTTGGTATTGCAACAGAGAATCAAAAATAAAAGGACACCAGAAACTACTTCAAAGAGACTTCCTCACACACATACTCTCAAACATCTCTTGCTTTCAAAAATTAATAAACAAATAAAAGAGAAGCATGCAAGAAAGAAGTGGAAGAATTTGTATTACAAGCTACCAAAGCTGCTTAATAGTCTTAGGCTCTCAACTAATTTGACCTGTACAACTGAAGTACCTTAAATTTGTGCACCTTATTCTGTACTTATTACCATTAGACTACAGGGCAGAATTTAACCTAGAACATATTAGAAGCTGGCTAGCTGGAAAATAATGTCCTTAGGACTTTCTCCTGCTATAGGGATTGGTGGAAAGACTGAAGTCAGAGCTTCCTAAAGAGATGTAGTTGCTGGTAAAGAATTTTCTGACAGTAATGAGAATAGCTTAACTCTTATTCTGTATCTAGGTTGACACACACAAGTCTTACAAACATGCCAAATAAATGATGCCACACATTAAGCTTTTTAAATCTGTGTTTGAGATGTAGAATATATTTATAGGTAGTATTGTATACTGTGATTTTTAACACAGAACAAGCCAAGGCTGCTCTAGACATGCCTTACAGGCTAGAGGCCACTTATCAAGACAGTTAGCCAGCCTCTGGCTATCTCACATCAGTCCTCCTCTGAGGATTACCCAGGACAGCAGAGTAAGCAGGCTCAACTAATTTTTTAGTGCTCATGAAGTAGCAGCAGCAGCAGCACAAACTGTTTCAATCTAACAACAGATTCATGTAATCCAGTCTGAAATAATGTCCTAATCCGGTCTGAAATAATGTCCAAGAGAAAACATGAAAAGGATAATGTACTATTTTTTTTTCCCAAAAATAATCACCCAGCTTCCAGAAAGACTGCTTTTCAGAGACTTCTGTGTCCCCGAGTCTTTGTATTTAACAGCTCTTGAGGTTCTTTTTTTTTTCCTTCATTGATTTCCCCAGTAGCTCTTTGACACTTCCACTTTTAGCCCTCACACTACTCTGAAAAAAGGGATTCCACAGCTTAATTACACATCCCATACCAGCCTGCTCTCACCTGCTTGTCTCTTGAGGGAAGTCACACAGCTCCCTCAAAACAGCACTTGTATGTGGGCACATGAGCAGTAAGTCACTCTAAATCCATAGTAAACTTTGCACTTCTGACAGATGTCTATCCTAGTGTACTTGCTGCATGGGTCTAGAGTAGGATGGGGGAAGTTACATATTATAAACATGGCAAACAACAACAGATAGACCTCATAACTAGAAAGATTTGGGCTATTGTAGTAAATGCTCGGAGACTTCCACGAGGATACAGAATTTAAGACAAATGTCTCCTCACCCAAATATACTGACACGACAATATGACTAAAGGTTTATACAATTTGTCTAACAATTGTAAAACAACAAAATCATCACTCATACTTTTACAAGGCATCAAGATGAATTTGGTAATCTACCTACATTCCATATCATTAAGATTTTTTATAAGTTCTGTGAAAATTAGATTCTCATGGGCTTCTCTCTAGCACCTAATAATTTTCATCTGAATCACAGCTTCTCCCTCATTATTTTGGGTTTCTCTCCACTATACAGTCACCTATTTTCAACAATATTTAGGATCTTTCTCACTCTGTCAAATGCACATAAAGTGCAGTTATATGTTGAAAACAGGCTTCCTAAACAGGCTCTTTAAGTCTTGAAATGCCCCCCCAATTGGAAGATTATAATCTTCTCCAGTTCTTACAAAGTTAATATGGTCACTATCCTATGTCACAGTTCTATTTTCATCAACTCTGAAAAGGCCCAACCCCCCTTCCAAAACTCAAATACCAACCTTTGCAGAATACTTTCTGCAGTGCGTTTTCCTTTTTCTACTGCCTTTGGACCTCCCACTGGACAGACAGCAGTAGCTCTGAAGCCATCAAGGTAAGTTGCATTTACCTAACAATAAAGAGATTATGAAATTACACAGGATTCAGTGCTGATAGACTACAAATACTCTCTGACAATCATTATCCACACATTAAGAGGAAGTGGAATAGCAAGAAATTGTCATCATCATCACAAAACTTTACTCCATTACTTTAAATTCAAAATTCTGTTAGACTGAAATCTGCAAAACTGAAACTCAGAATCACTTCTCATCATCCTTAAATTCTCCTGTACTTACCTATTTTGGTACACCAGACACATTCTAATTTTGAAAAAATGAATAACCTATCACAGTGAAATAAATCAGACTCAAGTTTCCCAGAAGTATTGAAGTAAATACAGAAAAACACCATACACACACACAAAAAAAAAGGAACACAGAATCATGGAATTGTTCTAGCTGGAAGAGATCTTAAGATCATCATGTCCAACCATTAACCCAGCACTGCCAGGTCACCATCATATCCCTAAGTGCCACATCTACATGACTTTGAAATGCCTCCAGGGATGGTGACTCTACCACTTCCCTGGGCAGCTCGTTGCAGGACTGTCTTTCTGGGAAGAGATTTCTCCTAATATTCAATCTAAACCTCCCCTGGCACAAGTAGAGCCCATTTCCTCTTGTCCTATAGCTTGCTACATGGAATAAGATACCAACACCCACCTCTCTACAACCTCCTTTCAAGCAGTAGTAGAGAGTGACACATTTGACTACTACACATTTTACTACACTTCCAGTGCTACAGTTGCTTAAGAGAGCTCTAACACAGTGAAAGCAAGGACCATAATGCATGGCCGTGAACCCTAGGAAAGCTTTAACAGCTTTAGCTAAACTAAGTGTGATGGGCATTTTCAACACTTATTGCTTAACAGAAAAACCAAAACAGAAATTGAAGACACTCCGTGTAACTCTCCAAAATCAAAAATCTTTTTCCTACAGTCGATTTCCAAACACTTTACCAACTCTACTTTTAAACCTCCCCAAAATGTTTCAGTTATTTCTTTTGAGAAGCTATTTCTGATTATTTTCCCTGACATTTACCTTATATCTCACTTTCTCTTACTGTTTTACCAACCACAGTTCACCTTGAATGCAGCAATTAAATAATTTTCCACTACACTTAGTGTCAAGTTACTCTAAGATATAAAACACCCTTAAAATGTATGTAGCTTGTTATAATGCCCATTCAGTCTCTTCCTAGCCAACCTGATTAAGTTCATTTCCTAAAAATTAATTCTAAAACAGGTGTGCAAAGCTTATGTCCTTTTGTCACTGACACCAAGTTAAACAGCTTCAAAAAATATAAATATTTCATAGAAAGTATAAATTACACATTTTACAATATAATTACACACTTTAATATACAAAAGATATATTTAAAAAAATATTCCAGAACACATACATTTCAAATGCCCTATTTAGGACATCATAAAAAATAAATAAGAAATATAAAGTTAATTTTAATTTGCTATTACATAAAAATCAAACTGACATTCTGCTTTGTTTATTCCATTTCATGGTTCATCAACTGAAAAAAAAAAATCTCAAATCTCACTTATTTCTTTTAGATATGAAGAAGTATGGAACTATAAGGTCAAGAACAAAAACTGCAGGAGGACAAGGCTGCTGAACAGAGCAGTTGCTGAAAGTTGCTGAGAAGCAAAACATATTCAGCTTCAAACCACACACTCAGACCAAGAAAAAGTACTTTCTGCTTTGTACATTCACTGCCTTCTGTATTTCCCTAGATCACATTTCACTATTTACTACAGGAATAACAACATTAGCATGGGTATCATCTGGCTGATGGAATCTGGTGTTTTGTAGAAAAGCATACTCTTCATTCTATGCCATTTTTAGGAACTAATTCTAAGCTGAATACTCAGTCGGTTACACAGACACTGTAAGGCCAATTTTTAAACTAAACATCTTCTAGAAATGTGCTTATAATTTATGTTTTAATACTTTTCTCTTTATTATTTCAAACACAACAAAAACCAAATTTCAGATCAAAAAGATAGTTATTCCCTGATGCTGATAATGCATACACAGACCAGTCAGAGAAAGGAAATTTGTTCTTCTCACATTATGTAACTAGATACCTCTGAAATATTGTGTTATTTAAAAAACAAACTCTCATGTAAAACTCGTTTTAAAAAAGGTGAGAAATATTTTTGAAATGCTGTAAAAAGTTTCAGAGAAAAATTATGCTCAGGCATATGTTACATTATGTAAACAGAGATGGAGATACTCATTACTTACCTTTTAAAAGCTACTTGGTAGATCTATTTCATTGTGAAATTTAACAACTAACAGGCCAATAAAAAAAAAAAAAAATCAACAAGTATAAAGGTGTTAGTGGGCTAACATGTTTTTAAAATTATCATTCCTATAAAAGAAACACTCCAGCCTTGTCTGAAAGTTTGTGGATAAGCCTGTTATACTTGAAAACATTTTAAGTTGTATCAATTAAGGTTTGTCTTTTTTTCCTTCCCCCCCATTTCTTCTACTCTCAGAGCAGAGAAGATGAAGATTTTTAAAGTGGTACCAGTTTTTGGCAGAAAATGTTGAGCTTCTTCTCCAAAACACAAAATTTTGTGCATTTTGTAAAAATTTTGCAAAATATTTTGTAAAAAATACTTTACACTCCACAGAAACAGATAATACCTTGTACAACTTTGAAGGAGGTGATCCTTTTGCTCCATGAACTTTCACTGCCCCACCATCAAAACCTATAGTGGTTAAAAATCAATATTTAAGCTTCTTCAATATAACTCCAAAGACATTATTTTTTGATACATATTAAGCAAATGCACATAATTAAAAGCAAATCACTGACAGTTGTACTGCCATGGAAGAGAGAACCTTTCTGAAAACAGCCCTCCCTGCCTCAGAAACACAAACAATAAATTGTTTCTACATTTATGACTTCAATGAGCCTTTTAACTGAAGGCTTGAAATGTTTATTCATGTACTTAAAAAGTACTTAACACAGAAAGCAGCCTTCGGACTTCAGACCCAATAGTTATTTTCCACTTAACAGCCAGTATATTGCACACACAGAGATCATACCATTTACAGTGGTTGGCTGGAGTGGAACTGCAGTCCTTCACTTGGTAAAGAAACAAACAGAAAAAAGAGATGAGAAACCAGTGACAGCTAATTTGCTGACAGCTTAGGAAGTGAAGGGGCAATTTAACTTTAGTCTTCTTGTCAGCAAGAGAAACAAAACAGTCTGAATATATGTTCCAGGGCAACTATCAGTAATATTAATGCCAAAAAGAAAATGGAGAAAATTGTTGCCATGGCATCAGGTTCAAGCTTGAACTGGAGAAAAGTCAACACATGCAGCTCCCTGAAAATTAGTAGTGCAGGATCAGCACCTCACATGAGACAGAAGTATACTGTAGCTCACCTGTACCTGACCTGTGCTTGCAAATATTCATGAAGCAGTTCAAAGCTTTACACAAATACTCTGAAGAGATCAAATCAGAACACATCTGAAAAGGGGAATGTGACTAGCAGGAACTTTACTTGTCACTCAGATAAGATCCTCACTCTTTCTGCAAGACTGATGTATGGTTAATTTAACTCTCTCAGAACTGAACAATATCCCTGCAGCCAGGGTGAAGATCTGTATGTTCCATGTTCCAGATGAAACAGTAGTACAAGGAAAAAAGTCCAAAAACCAAAATGCATAATAGCCATTGACAAAACGAAAACAGAAGCACCTCTCAGTTCAAACACTGAAAGGAATCCAGCAGGACAATAAAATCAGCAATGTAAACAGCAAAAATAGATAGCTTGCCTGTTTTTACTGGTGTACGTGTCAAAGCACTTCAAACTAAAAATATTTAAGAAATCTGCCCATTTTCCATCTGTTATATTTCTAAGAAGGCTAGCTGAAAGTTCATGTGAAAGTTCATTTTAAGTTCAAACATGTCATATCGGGTCATTTGCAAGCTAAAAGTTCATAGGAAGGTTAGAGTTTCCTTTTTTTTTTTTTTTAAAAAAAAAAAAAAGACTCCTAGCTAAGAGCTGCAAGCAGGCCTTTTCAAACCACCATTTGGTTAGTTGCATGAGCAGAAGTTTCTCTGTTTAATTTTATGGCACTTTTATTATTGAACCAAAATATTTTAGATGCCAGTGTTTTAGGTTTTATCACAGTAAGTTTTTAGTTTCAGATTTCAATTGTTCTGAGTTTTATAAAGAAACTCAGCATATTGTTCCAGATCAGTTCCACTAGAATGAAAAAGGATATAATACAGATGTAGTAAAAAAAAATTTCAAATGACTGTAGCTAAACATTTTTTTCAAGCTGTCTTAATCTACAGATCTTCATATCCGTTACACCTGCGGGTTTTTGTTTGTTTTGCTTTTAAAGTTAAATCCAGAACATACACTATATCCATCTTTAGTCTACTGGCTGTTGAGAGTTTCAAGGATAGCAAATGGACTTTTTTTAAGCACAGATTATCTGTGGAACATCCTATACCTAAGCAGGTTTCTACCACTTCAGATGATCTAACTAAATGTCTAAGAAAAATACCATTACCAAGTAGTGCTTTGAAAGACACAGATTTCCATTATTACTAGCACTTCAAATGTCATCTGAGAAAACATGTATAAAACACAGCTTTTTTGAGCAAAGAAACTGACCTGCAGTTTAAAAAAAAAACTAAAATCATAGTAGAGCTGTCTCAATGTTGCTCACACAGAATACAATCTCAAGACTTGGTGGGTGCAAGGCACCAAGGCATGCATTAAAAAGTAAAGTAAAACAAGTAGTGATCAAAGATTTAAAATTAGTCATCCAGTAAAATAAAGATCATGGTTAAAAATTCTAAAGGAATTTCTAGCATAAATATTTTAAAACAATCAGTTTAATACACTAAGAAATTGATTTAATAAGAAATACGCAGAGAAAACAAGAAAATTAAAGTAACTGCTTTAATTTGACAACCCAGTTCATTGACACAGATCTCTTAACACCTATGAGGACAAACCTGGAATTTCAGTGATGGAAACTTTGGAAAAATCACACGTGACATCTGGTAGAAGATAGCGCTGAGGATTGCCCAATTCATACACCAACTGTTCAGCTACAGTGCCAAAAGAGATTAATCCTCCTGTGTCTGGTGGTTTGGAAAGAATAAAGTCTCCTTCAGAGGAACATTCTACAATGGGAAAGCCTATGTTGTGCCTAGAATATGAAACACATGGAAAAACCCCTGAAATTACAAAGTGAAAATGAAAAGAAAAATAAGTAACAACATACTTTATGGTAATGACTAATAAAATAAAACTCACCAAGAGTTATAACATATCTGGTTGTTTCTGCAGAAACATACGTGAGAAAAAGCACTGAACAAACTACTCAACCAAATTAGTAAGAGGATGCATTTTATTGCCTGGTGAAGGAGTGCAGATATAATAACAGAGAACAACAGTAAACAGAAGTGAGGAAGGGACTGGAGGACAATTACAGAAAAAGGTTGAAGTAAAAAGAAGCCAAAAGAATTAGAGGCCTATGACTAAAGAAGTAAATTCAGAAGAAGAAACATGATTGCTAATTCTAGCCTAGTATGGTTGCAGCAGCACACACAGCATGAAGGCAAAGAGATGTGAATACATCCTGGACTCTGGATTTGTAAAAAAAGGCAGTCATAGCAGGAAGAACAGACTGTGCTGGAAGCCTCACACATGAAGGGAAGCAGGAAACAGGAATAATTACACCCATTAAGGACAATTTCACATGTTAATAATAAGTTATACACAGAAAGTTATAATGAGAAAAAGATATATGAAATTTAAGATCTCCAGCCCAGAACAACTATAAAGGACAGAATGATCAGAAAATCAGGAGGCACAGCAAAAAAGCAGTAAACCAGAAAATTACAGACAATTAAAATATCGTTCCTCCTCACATTTTCACAAGTAACATAAAAGAAGCGATCAAAAAATAATGCATAGTAAGAGGCACATGCCAGTCATTACAGCAGCAGGGCAGAATTTTCAGGGTTATGTGGACAAGATGTAGGTATTTGCTTCCCCAGCTAAAAGCCTTCATTTAATTTGCAGAGTATTTGAGAAAAAGTAATGACTTAAAAAAAAACAAGAAACAATACAGCCCCTTGCAAAAGAAAAACTGTTGTAAAAAGGTCCTAATAATGAAAGGTGGTGAACATCACTCTCCTTAAAAGTCAATGACCTTCAAGTCTCCTGTACATGCTTAAAATCAGGCCATCCCTAAAATTCATTATTTTTGGGTACTAGTGGTAACAATGTACTGAACATACAAGCAAATTAGTTATCAGAAAAGGTTACATGAACATAGTTTGTATAACTTAAATCCACAGAGTTTTGAAGGAAGTAAGCAAAGAAACCAGTGAACTCTCCAGTGACATTTGTAGAAGTTCACAGGCACTTGAACAGATTCCTTATCATTGAGAAGCTTCAAACATAACCCCGTTATTTAAAAAAAGGATTAAGAGACAAGCTCTGTTACCAGAGATCAGCAACTTTAATACTGATAGTGTACAAGACTTGGAAAGTATGGTTTCTGGAGGACACCTAGAAAAGCCCATGTCAAATCAGTAAAGATTACACCTCATTAAGACTGGTCTTTGAAACTATTTAAACAACTGACCAGATAAAGTGCAACAAAAATACCCTACTACCCTGGTGAATACAGAAAAATTCCATGGAATCAACAATTTTTTTTTTTATATACAAGATATTCTAGGGTTTAGGCTTGGTGGGGTTTTTTTTTGGGTTTGTTTGTTTGTTTCTTCCCTCCCCCCCCCCACCAAGGGAAGTGGAGGGAGAAAAGATGATTGCAAGATGTATGTAACATTCAACAGTTTAAAGTGTGACATATATATAAAAAAAAAATCCACAACACTTCCCAATTCCTGGTCTTGAACATTTATGTAGAGTAACAGACTAACATCTGTAATTATCCAAATTATAGAGGTAAGGAAACCCAGCCAGGAAGCATCATGATCAGCCTAGGATCAGTGACTAAACAAGGCTACAATCAAACAGCTTTTGCCCTCGGTGTCATGCTTGTCTGCTTTGACCCCAGCATCCACCTGTCTTGTCTTAAACCAGTAGCACCAGGGGCCCTGCCAACAGGCTCAACGCAGATTATTCACATCACCTACCCAAAAGTCACCTCCATCAAGACAGTGCAATCTATTCCAGTGCAATGATGACTGGTATTCTGACTGCAGCCCACTTTGATCTAAGTCATCAGCACATGCAACTCTTATGACACACTCCTGCACCTACTCCCAAGGGATGTTTGCTTTAGAGGAAGAAGAGGTGAACTGTAGACACTCAGCTTTCTACTCTGAACCACTGCATCCTACTAACAGATTAAAATTGTTTGGCCAAGCTCTACTCTAAAAAGACCAAAACCATTAAAAAACAAAACGCAATAACAAACAGCAATATACTGAGGCAAAGAGAAATTTCACCCCCTAAAATTATTAGAATCAGGGAAACACTTGTCATTAAAAGCAGGCCAATCATGGAAGACAGCAGATAAACAGTATCAGCATGAACAAGATTATTATTTAGGTCCCTTAGTATGTAAAAAGACAGATTCTGATTTTCCCATTATCTTAGGACCATCAAAGTCAGAGGATCTTTACGGTGGAATTGTTTATCCTGCCAGAGTGGCTGGAAGGAGACCACACAGGTATGAATGTCCTTTCTGGAACAGCTTTTAAATATACATTGAGACATATCCAGTATATAAAAAAGACACTCAGTTTTTACCACTTGCAGCATAGTCTTGACCCAAAGCTTGTAGGAAAACTGTATGAAGGAGAAAAGACATTCCAAGACACAACCCCAAACAAAACCAAAATCAAACCTACCAAAACCAAAGGGGAAATCACAAAATTCTTCCTAGAAAAAGTATGCAGACACAGGACACTAGCATGTCCTAGCATGGCAAGAATTTTTAGCTATCTTTAAACAATTCTGAAATCCATTACCCAAAAGGTTAATGAAAAGAAATTACAGTGACTTACTCTTTCATATTCTCTTTAATTGTTACCTTGTTGCAACAGTTAGTGAAAGTACCAAGGAAGAGTATTTGCCTTCACTGGAGATAAGTGTGAAGGGGTGTTTCCTCCTCAAGGTATGACACCATCCACTGGACTTTTCCGAGTGCTCAGTTAGTTGCAGATGTGTGTTCTGACAGGTCACATCAGCTCTGAAAGCTTCCCTCACTTATTCAAAACCTAGAGATGCAATGAATTGAGCAAGAAGCTCCTGGACTCCATCTGCATTGTAACTGGATGGCTGAGAGAATGCACACATGCCATACTACCTGGTAGCACATGCCAGTGAGAACCTACATGAACATATGCATGCCCGAGAGAAAAACGTAGTTTGTATGTTGCTAAAAACACTACTTAAAATTAATTTCCAGCTTGGAAACAAATTAGCCTGTCACCCCTACAGCAGGATTCAGTCAAGTGACAGCTACTTAAACCTGATGTTGGAGCTCCCTAGCAGCAAACACTACCTGGATGTGGTACACTAGCACATGCTGCAGGTACTATAATCACACCATCACCCTGAGCAGTACTTCCACTGAAAGAAGTTACTCTTTGCCTGGCTCACTAGTAGGTTTGGCTGAATGACACACCGTATGATATCTGCACTGCAATGTGCCAACTTTATGCTGGCCATAACCCACAGCCAAGCTGCAATTTTCTACACTGTAGCAGGGGAGATAAACAGAGAACTGTGAACTCACAACTTCAGCAGCAATGACAGTCATGGCATTCAAAGCAACACAGTGGCCATGTGAGGCCCTTCAGTAATAAAAGGATTGCATGAGTTTAGTGATAAAACCCCCAGCAGGATTGGGCAATATCAAGAAATGTAAGCAATTCTGAAAGGAAACTACTAAAGTGAATTCTAATTTAATTACACAATCATGTGATTAATAAAATACAATAGCAGAGGTAAATATGAAAAAAAAAAAAAATACTTTTCAAACATTTTGAGTGGTTTTTTAACACAGTGTTAAAATACAGAAACATTATACATCAGTTTGTGAAAGGAGACGACAACCACCATTCTTTTATCCAAAACTGGTCTGGTTTGGGTTACATGTTTGGTACATAACAGTTAAATAAATCATATAAGAAAACCAGAGCACTGACTAAATCCAAACATTAAACCTCATAAACTTCCTCCAAGTTGGGGCTGGTTGAGGACTTAACAGTTAAAGCATGTCCTCATTGACTACAGCAGCACATGGGTAATGAACTTTCAAAACTGGTTTTGCTGATGAAACCACCTTTTCAACTGCCATCTACACCTCCTATCCTACTTACAGGAATCAGGGCTCTGAAAGCCAGTCTCCTGTCTGTGCTCTGCCTGCCAATGACTGACTTACTCTTGGGATTATTTTTTTCCATGTAAAATGTTGATTTTCCTTCATTTTTGGCTCTCAAAAATGTTACAGTTCATGGCATGTCAAAGGTAAGAACAAGAACTACATAGGCAGAGCCGTCATCTGTCTGCTCCCAGACAATGCACCGTCCGTCTCTGGGCAGCTCTGAAGACAAGCCTTCCCTCTTGTTTTGCCACCAATCTTACACCATTTGCCTTACAAAAAAAAAGTAAAATCCATGAGTACTGGATCCTGTTGGGCTCAGGAGAAAGACAATATCTGAGACAACATGAGGATTTCTTCTCTCATGAGGTGCCAAACTCAACTATCTCATTCTGGTCACTACTGGTAGACTGAGGGGATTACTGGCAACAAAAGATGGGACAGTTGGTGTAGTGCATTTTCTTGTGGGGGAAGATGTTGGAAGGCAGAAAAAAAAAAAAAAAAGCCACAGCAAAAATGATGTTGACATGGAAATGAACCAGGGTCCAACTAGGTTGTAGTATGAACTTTCAGCTTTACAGCTAATGCAGTTTCCTGTGATGTGACTCAATGAATGTCACACTGAGGAGAGCTCCAAGCCAAGCTTCTCAGTATCATGGACATGTATTTTAACTGCAACACTATTGGGCAAGAAGCAGAAACTGCTATCACTTCTGGCAGTGTCTTCACAATCAATTCAGAGCTGTTAAAATGTGTCAGGCAAAATCAGCACAAACTTTTGTGTAAAGTATATGCATATGTTTACATGTAGGTATCAACATGTTTCCTAACCTGCTGCAATTCCAGTTTGGGTAAAATTTCCTGATTGCATTACTTATCTCCTCTAACTAGAGGGCATTTCAGAGTATGCATTGTGTGTAAACTCTTAATGCCTAGACAATTTCAGGCCAATCAGACAGGCTGCCTGGAATAGATGATGCTACAGAGAATGAGGCATTCCACATTGCTGATCAGGACTTGCATGCTGGATTCTGTTCAAGTCCCAGATTAAGCAATCTGGATCCAGCCCTTGAAGAGACTACAACTACTGACTTACCCTTTTGGTCATCCCAGGCCAGAGGATTATGCAGTCTCAACCACTGTACACTCTTGGCTTAGGGCAAAATGTCAGTGTTTATCACCTCCTCAAAATGATTACTCTACTGATCAGCATTAGTTTATTCTCTCCTGCATTCCAAAACAAAACAAAACAATGTACTAATCACCCACTGGCACTAAACAGTTGTAACAGACAGCAGTATCAGGAGTTAAATGAAAACTAAATACAGGGCTGTGTATTGGCAATATACTTCTGTCATCACAGTTCATTCTGACACTTTGTATGAATTCCCTACTGAATGCTGTGCACTAGACATTAAATAGGAAGCAGTGACATATTATCACTTCTGACCATCTGCTGACATATTGTACTACACAAAGAACAGAAATGGAGTAAGTGCCTTTTTTGATAACATTTACTTAAAATCAGTCATTTAAGAATGCTCATTACTCTTCTATAAACTGTGAACCAATGGTTTCTTGCATTTTCTCTGCTAAACATCAGAGAATCCACACAAGTGGTGAGTCAAGCAGCCTTCCTCTCACTGGAAAAGAGCATCTCTGTCCCCTCTACCTGTCTGCCTATTTTCCTGAAAAATGGATGAAACTTAACAACTTCAAGATTTCTGTGCTGAAGTTAAATACATTACAAAGACCTAGCCAATGCAGTCAAAGAAATCCCAGAATTCTAACCTGCCTTAGGTTAGCAGACAGAAACCAACTAATTCTAGATTCTGTCAATGAAAATAATTAGTCATGAGTTATGACATGCAACTTCATATTTTTTGCATTAAAAACTTGCTTTACTGAGACAACAAAAAAAAAAAAAAGAATACCTTAGGATTTCATAGCTAACAATTCAATTGCCACAATATACCCATATGAACACTCCTGAGACTTAAAGTATCCTTTTACAGTGAAATTGAGGCCCAAGAAGTGGTCTGCATTAAACACTTCAAGAAAATAAATAAATAAATTAAAAAAAAAAAAAAAAGGCAACACACACAAAACCACACTAAAAACCTGTGTTGGATGAATGAAGTGAGCCCAGTCCAGTACCTCAATACTCATAAGTACATAATATACACATGGAATGCAAGTTCTGACTCATACTTACCTGGCTTTACTCAGTTTAAATTAAGGTGCTCTTGTTTACATAGTTCATTAATTTTGCTTATGTGGACAGATAAGGTTTATAAGTCTAAAATCTGATAAATTCTTCCCTTTTTTTTGTTTACAAATTAGAAAAATCTCACACTCATCAGTCCTTCTTAACAGTACGCTCACACGTTTTTTAGCAGCCAAAGACAGAAGAGCAACATGGACTGCTCTTCTTGGGGAGGAAAAAAAACCCAAAAGAGTCAAAAACCAACCCGAGTCAAGTCACAGCCAGATCTACACCCTGCAAGAACATGAGTGGAAAAGACTGCCCTCTAGTGTTTAGTTACCAGAGGATAGCATAAATGCTGTGAAAGGTTTTCTTAACCTCTAGTGTAAAGGTCCAGTAAATGTTTGCGGCGCTGACTGGCCTGGGCTGCGTGAACACACTCAAGGCAGTGAGAAATTTGTATCTGTACAGCACTTCAGTGACAAACAGATTTAACTTGGCTTCTTCCCCTGACATTTACTGAATTTGTGGGGCTGGTTTGGGCTTACCATTATGGATCACAGACACTATCATTTATTGAGATCCAAACTACGCACACTTACTTTCAGGAGACTGCTCAAAACATGGCTTTTCCTAAATGAGGGAGAAAACATGAACAGAATATAGTCAAGTAACTCCTGCAAACTCTGTTGACCTCCTGGCAATGTAAGTACTGTTGGTGGCAACAAGTATTGCATATTCTGGTTATCATGGAGACTGTGAATTGCCATATTATTATTGTGCAGTATTATGCAATGCCTTATCTGCATACACTGAAACCAGATTCAGACTGTCTAAATAACACCTCCCCCCATGCCATCAAGTTTCTTTAAATTAAGGAGTCAACAGGTTACTACTAAACTATCAAATGGAAAATGCATTTTGCTGCAGCCCAAAAGCTTTCACAGTATTTCCCCTTCGTGCATTTCCATCTAAATACAGGAAACAACTATTTAACAGGAGAAAAAAAAAAAACCAAAAATAATCACCTCCTTTCCTTCCCTGCCTCTGCATCCTAAATGGATGTCCTGGACCACAAAGTCCACTGTGGTCCATCTTCTACTCTGCTTCTCCAAATATAATATTGAAGTTCATACATTATTTTGGGTTTGTCTAGCTTTAGTTTATCATACAGGCTGACATGTAACATGTTTTTATATCAAGAATTAAATGCCTAAGGCTCTTTTAATTTGCAAACAAAAACACTAGTTCTAAGGCACAATTAATTTTTAGTAGACTTAATCTAAAGGTAAATAAATGTTGTATTCACAGAGATGCAACCATGCATGGTTCACAAGTATGCACACAGATGATGGGGACAAGGGAACAGAGCAGTACTGGGTGCTAACCTTTGGTACTCTTTAGTAGCAATTCAAGTCAGCACCAGTCAGCTCTAAGCCACAAGACTACTATGACTTTAGACACAGTTATGATTTTTTATAAATACACACACACACACAAGTATTAGCTATCCACAATTTTACTTGTATGTAAAACTAGCTACTCCCACTCCAGCAGCTCATAGCTGAATATGCTCCAACTTAATTTTTGCTTTTTTATTAAAACAAACAGCCATTCCTCACAGAAAGATCCTTTAAAATAAAGAACTACCACACATTTTAATAAGAAAACTAGTATTCTGTTTTTTTTTCTTTCTTGTTTTTATAAAGTGAGGTCTTTCAGAGTCACAGTTACAGGAGATTTTAAAAAGTTTCAAGACACACCATAATAAAAACACCAGCAGATACATCAGAATCAGAGTTATGAATTTCCAAACTGAAAAGTGTGTCTTGTTATTGTAAACATTCTCATTTGATTTCTCATTAAGCACAACAGTGAAGAGTAAGTACAGTTTGTTCCAGGCTAGTAGCCTTCTAATAGGTGAAAGAAATCTCTTGACCTTGTTTCTTTCAATGCCTTATGTGCCTTCACCTGTAAATGAGCAGCGCTCAGGAACTCAAAACTGCAGAATACATCTTTCAAGATCATGCTCTGAATCAGAAATAGGCACTACAAGGAGGAGAAGGAAGCTTGACAGCCGTAGGGAACAAACTTTGGAGTGTGGCTCTTCAGATAACAGGGCACAGTATCCTTCCTCCTGGCTCATCCATCTGGACTACAGGTTGCCCCCGGTGGTCCTCTTCCCAGGTTCAACTTGGGAGCAGGGAAACCCCCAATGAAAGCCACCCTTCCCTCCTGCTTCTCTCCCACTGCTCTTCAACCCTTTTGTCCTTCCTTATGACACAGCACAGGACAAGATTCCTCCCTCTCATCCCAAGGGAAACAAGAATAAATTGCAGTCAGAATTACTCATCCGACACAAAACAAGTTCCCTGACTACTTTAAATTACTCTTAGAAACAAGCTGGTCAAAAGCAGGCTACATTTGTCCTTACTTGTGGTACTTCTTAGCAGGCAGAAGGACCTACCTGCATGAAAGTCTAATTCAGTAAGTCTGAACACAAGATAAAATACAGTTTAATTTTGAAAGGACTGACAGCTCAACATATTTGTGAAGATCAGGCAATACAGCAGGAGGGGACTGTGACTCATCCCTACCATAGCAAATTACATAAAATTTGTGACTGAACAGTAGGCAATTCTGATCTAACTGAAGACTGATTAAATTGTCCAAAAGATACATATTGTCTTGCCCATTACCATCATTCACAGCCAGTAACAAACCTTTCCAAAAAGCAGCTGACAAAAAAGGAAGCAGAAAAAAATCTAAAAGAAAAAAAAAAAAATCAGAGCTCTTTCTTTTTTTTCAAATCATCATCTTCTTAAGCTAAGAAAGGCCCCAGCTGACCAGAAGAAAGGAAAACTGCAATAGGGAGAACAGACCTTGCAGAAAAGTAAAAATAAGGTGGACAAATACCAAGAAGCCCATGTTGCCTTCCCCAAAAGAACGAAATAGAAGCAGTTTCCACAACACGGATATACAGCAGGAAATCTCATCTTTGGTCCACTACAAACATAGATGCTGATGTTGCTGTTACCTACCAGTCTGGTACTGCGTGCCAGTCAGTGAATATTCCACCTGTACACTGAGCACCACATTCAATGAGATGACCTGCAAGGCTGGGAAAATGGCACTCAAGTAACTAAGTATTCTGCAAAACCAACCTTCACAAATCCAGCTTCAAAATACAATAGTACAGTGTAAACAGAACTACACAGCAGAACACGATATTTTTTTTCCTCCACAGGCATCTAGTATGTTTATAAATTATGCATTAAACATAACAAGGGGTTCTGAAAGGTGAGTATGAAGAGCTGAAAAGGGTAACTTTTACATGAAGAATCAAACGAAATTCCCAAAAAAAATTAACACCTAAAAGACCACCTGACCCAAAAAAACAAGTCTCATGGCTCGTTTCAAGAAGTCTTGAACCCAAGTCAGTCTCTCAGCAGTGACTGTGTGTAACTAAATATGCAAAGCATGTTTTTATACCAAGAGAAACAAGACCTCACTTCCAATGTGAAGGACAGAACGTTTATCATTATGCATTACAGTTTTCAAACATTTGTTTGTGACAGTCCACAAACAATAGAATTATGAGGAAAAGCCTCATCTCTATCATCCTGAATTCAGTGGAGATGGAGTTTCTCCTCACATTTGTTTTCAAGCAACAGGAGGTCCAACCATACTACTCCAGGCGTACTTTGGTTACCTAAGCAGTCACTCATTTTTATGGAATTCCCATGCAGTCCAATGATGCAGAAAGTTGAATCAGGTGACAAAATTTTATCCTATGCTTTCTGCATCAGATCCCTAACCTCAGGATGTACGACGAGGGTTTGAAAAGGGCAGTACTGACACTGGGCTTCTGCAAAACCACACAAGGATGCTAGCCCCTGACT